GTCCGCTGAACACACTACCTCACGTTGACATCGAGTCAGTGAACCACTGTGGCATCAGGCGCTATGGGTGATGATCATGGAAGATGGTGGAAGCATTTATCTCACCATTATATTCCTCATTACCACCCAACCCATCGATGTGTGGTGTGGCTTAATATGTTAAAGCATAACATCTGATTTAGGCTTAGCCTTAACTAAAGCAGACTCTTAAAGCAGCAGCCTCCACCCAGCTACCATGCCCTTATGCATTTCATGTCTGGGTCTAACATGCACAGACCAGATCCCTGTTCCACCACATCCACTTCATCCTTTCCATGAAGGCCTTCACTGATTCCAAGACACGTGACTGAGGGTGATGAGGTGGTTTACTTACTTGTTAACCACTTTAGCGATGGCAACTACCACAGATCCTCGTCGACATGCACAAATTCGTTCATTGTCAACAGAATAACCTGTCTGATAACTTACTACACGACGACATTTGTCAACAGGATGGGTGTAATCTGATAGGTGACTCGTACTATCCCAAATACTTCACCATGTGATAAATCATCCTGCCTACCTGATCACTCTCGACGCAATGTTTCTAAGTTCTTTCGCACCCGGTGACCTTCACTTACCCGCTTTATTCACTCCACTACCATTGTAACAATATCGTGCAGAAATGACACCACACTGAACCACTCCATACCACGCATTTCCAAGTGCCGTACATTCATGGAAGTTGGATGTGAAGGAGAAACAGAAGCAAAACACCATCTGAACACCATCTCCCAAGTGGCTGCATTTCACTGAAACAGATAAGCTTAAATAAGGAAGTTTCCTTAGCGACAACCACCACACAAACCCAGGATTTTGCGCTTCATTTCGTTTCATTACATTTGGAGAGCAGTGTGAATGCGGACTACACTCCACGTCGTGCAAGTGGAAATGGAGGTGGGGTAGATGTAGAAGTATATGTATCGAAACGAAAGCTTGTATGCAATGTGACATTTGTGATGAACAAATGTCCAGCTCATGATGAATGAGAGGCTGCTTCTCCTTACCTAAAAACAGAGAAGAGAAGAACTCGTCTCCCTCACAGTAGAGAAAGCACGCACGTCACACACCATTGACACATCAGCACAGTGTCCACATTTCGTGAAGACTTGTGAAGTGAATGAGGAGGGGAAGGGGACTGAGGACGGTTTCAATGACTTCAGACATCATGTCGAATGCATACAGGAGGACTGAGTCTAAAGGAGACGTCTAGTGAGAGATGAGGCAGTGCGCTCTTTTCAATTTGCAACAATCATATCCACTCCAAAATGGTTCTTGTCAACATCACCATGCAAAGGAAATTGATGACGCGACATGCATCACCTTCACTCAGCTTATTTGCTGCACTCAATCAGCTTTGCAAGAGAATTAATCTGAAGGACACGTCTGTGTGGTCAAATTCAATCTGGTAATGAACCAACGGTACCATGTCATTACTGGAGCACTGCCATGAACTTGGGTATACCCGTATCCACAATGGTCGTGCTCGAAGTGTGTGAGTGGCACAAGCGATCCACCTCAAGATGCAAATAGTGGTGCAATTTCGCACCTCGTTTCAATCACAAGATGGCCACTAACACGCAATTTTCAACCAAAGAACCTCCAAAGCACCATTTCCTCCCCACACACACACACACACATACACACATAGAAAGGGCTCCTCCCCTTCCACGCCCAAAGTAAAACTCGCCTCAGAGAAACAGTTCAATTAGGAAGTTTTTAGTACACAAATCCGACATGTGGGTGACGGGAGCAAAACTGAAGACGCCTGATTGGTGTACAGTGCAGCAGAGTAATTAATGACATCCACCAAGTTTCTGCCTCGTCTCAACCACAGTTGTGGAAGGAGTGAGCTGCTTCTGCATGCTGTGGTATATTCGGGCTTGGATTTCAGCCATTCACTTCACTGTTAAATGCCTCTTCCACTTTTCATTTAAAAACACGCTCATCACCACTGTCTGGACCCAACGCTGTTACTACCAAAAGCTGCTGCGCTCCACCCTTCCTACGATGCCTTGACGTTCCCGTCTCGTTCCGCCATCCCTCTGGCAATAGCTGAGCCAAGCACATTGACTGTGGACGGGGCGACTGCCACTGTGATGCCACGCCATTCGGCAAGGGAGGCTCCACCTCAGATGACTGCTCTTTTCTCCCTGACTTCACCATCTACACCACGAGCATGGGACATTTTAGCAGTGATGAGATGCTGCATAGCGATTCCCTTGTCCACCACACCTGCATCCAGCTGCCTGATGCCAAATGCATGATGCGCAAGCCTTTACGATTTCTCGCCAGGCTATTTCACTTCTTGTAAATTCATGCAAACGTAATTATTGCCTGTGACAGCTACTTTGGGAAACAGGCCTTTGTGAGTAGTGGGAAATAAGGAGATGAGTAGAGGTGGGAAGTACAAGACACATGTGCCAAGGGAGGGGTGAGGAAAGCATTCCGTGGTTGCAGTCTCAGTGACCAGAGTAATGGTGACCAGAAAGTTAATGACGCAGACCACTTCACAATCAGCCAGGGCATAGCAAGACACATTGTGTAAGGTGCCTCCACAAGTTAGTGCAGAGTTGAGTTGTGCCTCATCTGTTCATACTTTGCGCTGCTTAACTGTAGAGTGGTGTCGTCGACACTCCGGTTCCGTGGTCCTCGTGACAAGTACTCGTCGATGATGCGACACGCCTCTTCCACCTCTAACCTCTTCATCATTACTTTGTTAGAACACACTCCTTACATGTGCTCCTTCACATCGTATAACCACTTGCTTCTAAGTCGACACGAGGCATTGGTTGTGGATGATGAATTTCGACATGGCTGGCTTAAGGGCATGAGTCAAAGGAGCATTGTCACACGAATATACTTACCTGTATTCGCAGATGGAGCACATAACTGACCGAATGTAGTTCTCTCTGCTTGTATTCTGCTAAGTGACTCTCGGCAGACTGATGTAAACTGACAGTGATGTGCTCGTTGTCTTGGGGCTCAACGAAAGCTTGACGACACCCCTTCGTTGGGGATGGGTGGCTGTGATGTGCCTGCTCTTGCCACATTCCCATTTGGAGTGATGACCACAGATTGAGATTCGGAAGCATTTCAACTAGTCCAACTGCTTCATGTACTGCACACTACATTTGATTTGCCCTCTCACTCTCCCACACGCTCCTTCCACCCATACAAATGGCACGACTTCAAGCAGCATTGGCGAAGCGGAATGGAACAGTGGGCCAACGAGAAAGCAGGAGGCGCCTCACTAAGCACGTCCAGTGGCAACCCAAAATGTGCTTTGTTAAAAATGAGGCGGTTGGACAAGTTGAAACACTTTCAGTGCTCATTCTGTGGTTATCGCTCTAATTGGAAATCTGGAAGTGGCAAGCATAATACAGCTGACTACCCATCTCCGAAGTAAAGGTGTGGTCTACACAATTACTTGCATGAAAGAATTTTGAGGTGTTTTCATACGAGTGAGCACTCCGTAACTTGACTATTTATAAGACTGACTGGAAGCACAGTTATCTGTGAACGCATGTTGCTTAGTGCTCAGTCACATGAGAACGCCTCACGATTCCTTGGATGCAATTTTGGTGCATGTGGAAAGTTGATCTCACGCCTTGTGGGTCAGTGACTTGCTCTCATGGGCTTGAGTGGAAGTGGCTACTTTGCTGCCTCATCCCTGCTACCGATTTGGACGAGTCACTACGGCAAGCACTACGGCAGCGAAATCACAGGCGTCATTAGTGCCATACTACTGGTCACAAGTATGGGTACTGCCGATCCCGCCCTCCTCAGACTGAGGTACACTGCTTTCGCCCAGATCAAATACACCCTCTTTGCTGAGCTGTGCGAAATGTTGTCCTTGAGAGACGAGTATTGCAATACATTATAGAGGAGTGGCGAAGTTATGTAACCACCTGCAACGCCTGTTAGCATCCCTCTTCGGTCCTGCGTCACTGTCAGCATTACCAGCAGCGCGTCTGGTTAAGGTGATGCCATTCGCCGCTAAACGCTGTTCCTCCTTCTTCTCCACATCGCACTAGAACCCGTTGTCTCTCACAGACCGTTTCCTAACATCGCATACAGCTCAACAGAATTGAATTGTCAGTGGTTTGTTGCTAATGCGATTTTTGTGCTTCCAAATGCTCGGCCGATTCCACTGCGACAAACGAACATAGAAAGTATCGAATCATCAACCTACACATGCGGCAAACTAGTGCAATAAATGATCAATTGCAGTCCTTCGTCGACATCTACTGTAGACAGATGTGTGGCTTTAACAAGTCACAAATTATGCAGTAGAATGAATCAATACTTGAGTATTTTTATACTTTCGCCTATCAGGGAGTGCCATAATCACTACTTTGGGGCATGCATTGTTGAAACGATAAGACTTGGAGACATTTTGCAATTCGCTAAAGTCTACTTCCAGCCGTCAAGTGCCTCACCTAGAGGCTTTCATTTAACAGGCAACGTTGCACCTACAACATGTCGTTCTTTTGTTAAACATCAGGACGAGTTACTGGACTCAGAAGGGACCATCATGGATATGCGGCAGTGTAATGAGAAGTGTGTCTGTGGGAAATAGCCTACACCTCAGATGGTAAGAGTATATCCTGATCACTGCTACTTGAACTCTCCCCTCAGACAATAGATGGTATGTTATACCGAGGACCGGAGATAATCGGCGTAAGTACTCTCAGAGACTGTATCTGCAGAAAGGTGAATATATGTAGATGGAGCAGTGGTTTGGGTGTCAATCACTCTATGGGTGCACGATTTGCGTCTTTCTTTTCCCCTTGTACCATTTGAATGGGTTGAGAAAAGTGTTTCTTCTTTAATGTATTTAGGCTACTAGTATATGTCCAAATCGGTGGCAGGGAAAAGGTAGACTAGTTCGACTGATGAACGCCATGGAATTAGGAACTGGGAACAGAGAACTATTCCCGTGTCCAGACTAAAAGTCAGAGATGTTGTGCTGAAGTTTAAGCAATCTCTGACACTCAATTGTTAATCTAACATTCCCAGCAGACGAGTGCAGATGTGCGACTTCCTTAAAGACCGCAGGCTGCAGACGAGTTTGGGGCAGGTTAATCGGTTGTTAGTTAATTGCCTTAGTATGAAGCTATTGTGCTCACTATTGACCCTCCCTGCATGAGTCATGTTTCCCTCATCACCGTGGTTCGTCGGCCTCTGCCAGTTAAAAAACATATTGAACGTCAACAATTGCTCACCAATAACGACTCACAGTAAATAGTGGCAAGGTCGTCGAAGGTCGGATGCTTTAAAGACTGGCACAGAATGCAACCTGTCTGCTTCTAGTGTCCGGCTGTGTCTTCGATCATCAGAAGTAGAAAGTGAACTCGGAGTTTCGCATCATGACCAGCACCAGCCTACTCAGACCGAAAGGCCTCCTCATGCCCGCTGAGCCGGGAATCAAATGCAGGGCCGCTATTTAAATGCTAATATGAATCTGAACTTGTAAAGCTCCGTGCCAAAGCTTACAACAATCTCAATGCATTAGCATTTCTTGTCTAATGGTAGTGCGAGCCGAAATTTGGGCTTCTGCAGCATGATCTCCCACAACCTGGTTCGGATTTGATCAAATTACGCATGCCGAGGTTGTGGCATTTCTTTCGGTTTCGTCTGGGAGAAGGGCTACATTGAGTTCCTCCCAAGGCCTTGCTTCGTCAATAGCAGTGATTTAGGTTTAGATGGCCTGTGGGCTGGATCCATCCTATGCATCTCCTAATCATATAATCAAGCGACATGACCTCCATGGAGGAAATTGTCTATTGATTGACGTGCAAAAGTAGGCAACGAAGGGCACGCTGAGTGCGGGCAGTTGACCCTATGGCTAGAGAGTCTAAAGCCAACGTAGCAAATACAGCAAAAATTGAACTCGAATCAAGCACAAAAATAGATTTAGTTGAATTGCGTGTAATTAGATTTGTAAGACGGAATAAATTAATGCCTCTACTTTCAGGTTACTAAGGCGAATTAATGCAGCCATCACAATCCGTACTTTTCTGTTGCTGATATCAAAATATCATTCACTTAATTTTGCAGAAAGCGTGAATACAAACATGCTAATAATTAAAATATGTATAAAGGATAAGGGGAGGCGCATAATCGTGTGACTTACTAAGTGAGTAGTAGAAATTCGGCTGAGTTAATGAGAAGCACTCATTGTGCTGTATTTCAGCTACTAACTGGACACTTACAACTGCCTACCCTCCCCACTTATCAAGTCATCCGATTGTCCCACCTCAGCTGATGCCTGCATGCAGATTCTCAGACTGGTATTTGTGGTTTGGGTAGTGCCACATGAGTGTAATGACCCAATTTGCTTAGTTCAACTGGATGTCACGAGCAAATGACATGTGCACTTCATCAATGTACCATTACTAAGCGCAACAAATCACTTGCTATAAGATTAAATGAATTTGTTCCCATCACAATTGTTTGCCCTGCCTGTTTAGAGGTTCTTAAACATCTTCCATAGAGAGTGGTGACATTTGGTGCTGGCTGTGAAGGATAAAGTATATAGGTGGGTGTGGTGATTGTCTTCTGGCACAGAGTTAGATAACAAATGAGTAATGTAATAAAAAAACAGGGAAGGCAAAAATCCAAACTCCTCTGTCTGCCCAAGTTTTAGCCAGCGTCTGTAGGCAGCTGACCATTCTCTGCCCACACTAGCCATGTCCCAACCATATTCATCCACCTTACGACCTCTTCAAGGGCAGCTCTTTGCCGTAGTGGTAGTACTTGTGAACGGGTTTCGAGCAATGTGATCTTATCAGTTTCTCAAAGTGAGCATATTTGAGAAGACAATGTGAGTGATTTGAGCACATTTCTAAAGAACAATCCCAAAGGGTACTGGCATGTTGAAAAATAAAAAAGTTGTGAAAAAATAGGTATGCTTTAAACAAAGTTGAAAGGAGAGGCCAAAGTCACTGAGCACTGTGATAAAAGATCAAGAGAGGAAGGCCACCTCCTCAGCCTGCTTCGAAATGGCGATTTCGATTACCCTTTGCGGATGGTGATATGACGCGAAGGTTCACACTGTGGAGGGAGAGAAGCCGCTGCCATTGCCAACTCGTTCGATTTAAACACTTTAGCAGTTGTTCCACTGCATACTGCTCTGCGACTGATGTAGAAGCCACTGCATTCAATGGTGCTAGCTGCGGTATCTTACTATTCGCCTCTAGAGAAAGTCACAATGTGTCGAAAGGAGGTGCCTTCAAGCAAGAATACGCCGGTAATCACAGGTCAGCGAGTCCGCAAAGCACTTGAATGGACGAATGCAGTCGTTCCCGTGAAACAATCACAACGCCCACCAAACCATCAATGTCCATTTTCAAATCTGCGTTAAGTTCTTGTGATTAAAATTGCTTGCTATTTTACCTAAGCTAGCATTCCTTGCGAGTAATCCTTTATAAACCATCAGTCCCTTAACACCGAAGAGTAGTCGCAACTTTAGTTCACATCGACCTCCAAGTTGAAGCAGCTTCTGCCATCCTCTCGCTTACCTCTCAAGCGACTTGTTCTTCAGCTGAGTGTCTCAATCCGCACTTACCCACGCTGATTTCCACCTATAATTAAAATTATGAATGACTATTTGATGTATACATGATTGTTTCGATAGCGCACCTATTTTGCCTATGTATCATGGACAAAAGCACGGATGGAACGAGAACCAAACTTCGGCAGAAATTGTGGCCCTCAGAGGTGTAGGGTGGGAATTGAGTCTTCTGTTGCTCTGCAGCCAGTCACCCACTTTGCAAACAACAAGTTACTGGACAGGCATCTGTGGATGAATTTAAATTAAATGAAGAAGTGCTGATGAACATCATGGAAAGTGAATGAGCTTTTTCACTGCGCCTGATTCTTGTTGCTGGACCGTATGGTCACGGTGCTGGTGCAGCTACCCCTCCTCAGACTGAGGTACACTGCTTTCGCCCAGATCAAATACACCCTCTTTGCTGAGCTGTGCGAAATGTTGTCCTTGAGAGACGAGTATTGCAATACATTATAGAGGAGTGGCGAAGTTATGTAACCACCTGCAACGCCTGTTAGCATCCCTCTTCGGTCCTGCGTCACTGTCAGCATTACCAGCAGCGCGTCTGGTTAAGGTGATGCCATTCGCCGCTAAACGCTGTTCCTCCTTCTTCTCCACATCGCACTAGAACCCGTTGTCTCTCACAGACCGTTTCCTAACATCGCATACAGCTCAACAGAATTGAATTGTCAGTGGTTTGTTGCTAATGCGATTTTTGTGCTTCCAAATGCTCGGCCGATTCCACTGCGACAAACGAACATAGAAAGTATCGAATCATCAACCTACACATGCGGCAAACTAGTGCAATAAATGATCAATTGCAGTCCTTCGTCGACATCTACTGTAGACAGATGTGTGGCTTTAACAAGTCACAAATTATGCAGTAGAATGAATCAATACTTGAGTATTTTTATACTTTCGCCTATCAGGGAGTGCCATAATCACTACTTTGGGGCATGCATTGTTGAAACGATAAGACTTGGAGACATTTTGCAATTCGCTAAAGTCTACTTCCAGCCGTCAAGTGCCTCACCTAGAGGCTTTCATTTAACAGGCAACGTTGCACCTACAACATGTCGTTCTTTTGTTAAACATCAGGACGAGTTACTGGACTCAGAAGGGACCATCATGGATATGCGGCAGTGTAATGAGAAGTGTGTCTGTGGGAAATAGCCTACACCTCAGATGGTAAGAGTATATCCTGATCACTGCTACTTGAACTCTCCCCTCAGACAATAGATGGTATGTTATACCGAGGACCGGAGATAATCGGCGTAAGTACTCTCAGAGACTGTATCTGCAGAAAGGTGAATATATGTAGATGGAGCAGTGGTTTGGGTGTCAATCACTCTATGGGTGCACGATTTGCGTCTTTCTTTTCCCCTTGTACCATTTGAATGGGTTGAGAAAAGTGTTTCTTCTTTAATGTATTTAGGCTACTAGTATATGTCCAAATCGGTGGCAGGGAAAAGGTAGACTAGTTCGACTGATGAACGCCATGGAATTAGGAACTGGGAACAGAGAACTATTCCCGTGTCCAGACTAAAAGTCAGAGATGTTGTGCTGAAGTTTAAGCAATCTCTGACACTCAATTGTTAATCTAACATTCCCAGCAGACGAGTGCAGATGTGCGACTTCCTTAAAGACCGCAGGCTGCAGACGAGTTTGGGGCAGGTTAATCGGTTGTTAGTTAATTGCCTTAGTATGAAGCTATTGTGCTCACTATTGACCCTCCCTGCATGAGTCATGTTTCCCTCATCACCGTGGTTCGTCGGCCTCTGCCAGTTAAAAAACATATTGAACGTCAACAATTGCTCACCAATAACGACTCACAGTAAATAGTGGCAAGGTCGTCGAAGGTCGGATGCTTTAAAGACTGGCACAGAATGCAACCTGTCTGCTTCTAGTGTCCGGCTGTGTCTTCGATCATCAGAAGTAGAAAGTGAACTCGGAGTTTCGCATCATGACCAGCACCAGCCTACTCAGACCGAAAGGCCTCCTCATGCCCGCTGAGCCGGGAATCAAATGCAGGGCCGCTATTTAAATGCTAATATGAATCTGAACTTGTAAAGCTCCGTGCCAAAGCTTACAACAATCTCAATGCATTAGCATTTCTTGTCTAATGGTAGTGCGAGCCGAAATTTGGGCTTCTGCAGCATGATCTCCCACAACCTGGTTCGGATTTGATCAAATTACGCATGCCGAGGTTGTGGCATTTCTTTCGGTTTCGTCTGGGAGAAGGGCTACATTGAGTTCCTCCCAAGGCCTTGCTTCGTCAATAGCAGTGATTTAGGTTTAGATGGCCTGTGGGCTGGATCCATCCTATGCATCTCCTAATCATATAATCAAGCGACATGACCTCCATGGAGGAAATTGTCTATTGATTGACGTGCAAAAGTAGGCAACGAAGGGCACGCTGAGTGCGGGCAGTTGACCCTATGGCTAGAGAGTCTAAAGCCAACGTAGCAAATACAGCAAAAATTGAACTCGAATCAAGCACAAAAATAGATTTAGTTGAATTGCGTGTAATTAGATTTGTAAGACGGAATAAATTAATGCCTCTACTTTCAGGTTACTAAGGCGAATTAATGCAGCCATCACAATCCGTACTTTTCTGTTGCTGATATCAAAATATCATTCACTTAATTTTGCAGAAAGCGTGAATACAAACATGCTAATAATTAAAATATGTATAAAGGATAAGGGGAGGCGCATAATCGTGTGACTTACTAAGTGAGTAGTAGAAATTCGGCTGAGTTAATGAGAAGCACTCATTGTGCTGTATTTCAGCTACTAACTGGACACTTACAACTGCCTACCCTCCCCACTTATCAAGTCATCCGATTGTCCCACCTCAGCTGATGCCTGCATGCAGATTCTCAGACTGGTATTTGTGGTTTGGGTAGTGCCACATGAGTGTAATGACCCAATTTGCTTAGTTCAACTGGATGTCACGAGCAAATGACATGTGCACTTCATCAATGTACCATTACTAAGCGCAACAAATCACTTGCTATAAGATTAAATGAATTTGTTCCCATCACAATTGTTTGCCCTGCCTGTTTAGAGGTTCTTAAACATCTTCCATAGAGAGTGGTGACATTTGGTGCTGGCTGTGAAGGATAAAGTATATAGGTGGGTGTGGTGATTGTCTTCTGGCACAGAGTTAGATAACAAATGAGTAATGTAATAAAAAAACAGGGAAGGCAAAAATCCAAACTCCTCTGTCTGCCCAAGTTTTAGCCAGCGTCTGTAGGCAGCTGACCATTCTCTGCCCACACTAGCCATGTCCCAACCATATTCATCCACCTTACGACCTCTTCAAGGGCAGCTCTTTGCCGTAGTGGTAGTACTTGTGAACGGGTTTCGAGCAATGTGATCTTATCAGTTTCTCAAAGTGAGCATATTTGAGAAGACAATGTGAGTGATTTGAGCACATTTCTAAAGAACAATCCCAAAGGGTACTGGCATGTTGAAAAATAAAAAAGTTGTGAAAAAATAGGTATGCTTTAAACAAAGTTGAAAGGAGAGGCCAAAGTCACTGAGCACTGTGATAAAAGATCAAGAGAGGAAGGCCACCTCCTCAGCCTGCTTCGAAATGGCGATTTCGATTACCCTTTGCGGATGGTGATATGACGCGAAGGTTCACACTGTGGAGGGAGAGAAGCCGCTGCCATTGCCAACTCGTTCGATTTAAACACTTTAGCAGTTGTTCCACTGCATACTGCTCTGCGACTGATGTAGAAGCCACTGCATTCAATGGTGCTAGCTGCGGTATCTTACTATTCGCCTCTAGAGAAAGTCACAATGTGTCGAAAGGAGGTGCCTTCAAGCAAGAATACGCCGGTAATCACAGGTCAGCGAGTCCGCAAAGCACTTGAATGGACGAATGCAGTCGTTCCCGTGAAACAATCACAACGCCCACCAAACCATCAATGTCCATTTTCAAATCTGCGTTAAGTTCTTGTGATTAAAATTGCTTGCTATTTTACCTAAGCTAGCATTCCTTGCGAGTAATCCTTTATAAACCATCAGTCCCTTAACACCGAAGAGTAGTCGCAACTTTAGTTCACATCGACCTCCAAGTTGAAGCAGCTTCTGCCATCCTCTCGCTTACCTCTCAAGCGACTTGTTCTTCAGCTGAGTGTCTCAATCCGCACTTACCCACGCTGATTTCCACCTATAATTAAAATTATGAATGACTATTTGATGTATACATGATTGTTTCGATAGCGCACCTATTTTGCCTATGTATCATGGACAAAAGCACGGATGGAACGAGAACCAAACTTCGGCAGAAATTGTGGCCCTCAGAGGTGTAGGGTGGGAATTGAGTCTTCTGTTGCTCTGCAGCCAGTCACCCACTTTGCAAACAACAAGTTACTGGACAGGCATCTGTGGATGAATTTAAATTAAATGAAGAAGTGCTGATGAACATCATGGAAAGTGAATGAGCTTTTTCACTGCGCCTGATTCTTGTTGCTGGACCGTATGGTCACGGTGCTGGTGCAGCTACC